AACGTTGTAGCTGTGCGCTTGGGAAGTACCCACGGGCTACTGGCAGCACCCTGCGTTGATAGTTGCGCCTTGGTGTAGTATGACAGCGGCTTTGCACCAGGGTTTCACTGCAACGAGTCAGAAGACACCGCTCTCAACGCTTACGACATCACTGGCACCGCACACGCGCGAGTCATTCAGCGCTTAAAGTCACCCAAACCTTCAGCAGGCCATGATGAGGATCTCACAAAGTACAAGGAACTGGCGGACGCGCCAGCGTCAGGCGGCCACGCCCAAGAGGAGGACGGACCTCCAGCGCCGGCCGCGCTTGACGGCAGGCCACCGACTATTGCTGAATAGTCAGATACGGATCTGGAAGCACGCATCATGGACACGCGATATGTAGAGAGAGCTCCACGAGGAAGATAATTCGCTCGAGACCCCGTCATAGGCTCCGCACCCGCCGATGTGGTTACCGACAACCACGCGCCCGCGGCTATGGCCAGCGAATAGCAACGCCGCTTGCGAGAAACAGGTTACGCTCGGAACCGCGACGCCTACGAAACCTTTGTGGTACCTTGGACCACCGAATGCGACGAGACTCGCGATGTCGACTCGGACGAGTACGGTCAGCATGCCCAGTTATGCTTTACATGGCCAAGGTGGTTCTATCAGAGCAACAATGCGAGGCGCTGCGCAGCGACCAAGTATCCACAACGCGTGTACATGTGTCAGCCGCAGCTACAAGAGCTGTGGTTGCCAAAGAGGACGACCGACCTCCCGACACAGGCAGAAGTACAAGCCAACCTGACAATGATAGTTCGGATTTTGTGCATTGAACTTGAATGTGGTACCATAGCCAATCTTTCAGGATGCAAGACATCACGCATGCTACCAACAGCATGACCTCCAGATACAAACGGCAACGGCCAAATGGAACGAGCAATGCGACTGCGCCTTGTTCTTCGTGGCTTTATGGATGTCGAAGCATTCGATATATAAACATTATTAGGCACAGTTCGTCGAGCATGCCAGAGATGGCTTGCCTGCGCATCCGCGCGCAGGAAACAGTGGATCATGGCATCCATGGGCGTCGTTAAGGCTTTCTTGAAGGGTCTAACTTACCGTGAGTTGGCAGAAACCACCGGAGAGAAAGAGCGCATGGTTTGCTTTACTCTTCCACGCGACTCAGCCTCGGCGCGACGCACATTGCCCGGTTTCTCGTCCCATGGCGAATCGAAGCGCTGATTTCAGTGCCTTGAACCAGCCGCGGGCACCCGCGACGCCCCTCGGCCCTCGGGCATTCTCACCGAAGCTCAGAACTGTCGCGCGAGGATCTGGGCTAAAGCTTACGTCATGATGAAGAATTTGAGACAAACCCAAACCTCCTGACAGCCAAGCGCGCAGATGACATCGACGCGGCATGGGTGGAGGACACTACAGACAAGTGCGCCGAGTATGCAGAAGGTACGTTCGGCGCATGCAAACTGAACAAACACCGTTACGCCACCTGCGCCGCGCGATGCACTATGGCCGAGGACGGCCGCGCCCAGCTAGATCAGGACGAATACATCAGACGGCGTAGCCCAATGCAGCTCCCAGAACTCACTGGCGCTGTGGCGGAAGAGAAAGCAGCGAAGACAGTATCCGACATGTGCATCAGTTTGCGCGGCGCGTTGGCGGATGCATTAACCACTCAAACGTGGTCAGTGGCGCGCGGGGCACCCTTGCAACGCGCACAGGAACCCGCGAACCTCCATGCGCGAAAACTTACAGCTACACCCGAACTTCAACAATGCCCAAAGAACCTATTATATCAACTTATGACTCCGACCAGAGAAGTGGACCTTCATAGTGACTCAGGATACCGTCGCCTCAATGGGGACGAAGACGAAGCAAAGGGATCTGGCATCCGAGGAGCTAACCCTTTTCTGCGCGGACACGTGCCCAATGGCATGGGCGTAGTGCGCCTGATCGATGCCTGTTGCAAATCGCATCGCTTGCAGGAGCACTCCAGCTACGCAGCTGAAGCGCTGGCCGCCGTTCATTATCTCGAGGATTGCGACCCTGCCATAGTTGCGCTACGCGAGCTTGAAGCTGGACCCCATCACGCCCACTCAACTCAATGAAGAAAACACATTGTGGAGTTAGGTGGCCTCAGCATTCATGCCAAGTCCACCCTTGCCATGGACGCTGTGTCGGTCTTGAAATCCTTGTTAAGTAAGGACTGGGAGAAACCGACCGAATGTGCCCTGCTGGGGCGCGCCAGCTGGATAGGACAAATGGTGGACCGAGGTGTAGTGAATAGCGTGCAATAGTGTGACAGACGAGACATGTCCGCTGACGGCCATGCCAAGGGGCACGTCGACTGCGCGTTACCGCTGCAAGTGATGGAAGGCAATCAGTCCTTCAATCACGAAGAAAATGGAGCACGCGCCCTACCGAGGCAAGAAAGACAGCACCAACCTAAGGGGCGCCCTATTCAGGGCCACAGGATGCCAACGAGGGCGACTACTTAGACGCAGACACTTACAATATGGTTCTCCTCGCCCGGCCACGGGCATGGACACCCGGAACTTCGCAGCTGCCATGAGTGCCCGGACGCGGGCACGATTCTGTCTTAGTTTTTAGTGGGGATCTGACCGCTTGGTCATGTCCCCTCGCGCGCTGCGCGCTTTGACGTCCGGCCAACAGGCTGGGCGCCCCTCCCTTACTTGTCTGTGGGTATTCATGTGGATTTGCCCGTGACTACCCATGATCGTCTGCGGCTGGTCGCGGCAACGCGCCATGGCCGGCCCTGACGCTCTACGCTGCTTTCTCTGCGTTTGTGGCATTGTATGATGTTAGGGATATTGAAAAACAACCTCCCGATCTTCGTTCTTTACTTGGCGTAATTCTTTACGCTTCGCGTATCCCCGCCAGCCCATCTCACAGCAGCAACTCTTGCGAAGCATGCCGACAGTCGTGTTTTTCAGGCGTGTGTCCGCTTGGCCCCGCATATCGCCCCTGTTCCTCCTTCCTCCCGCCTCCTTGTACATTTTCCTTGTGGGGGGGGGCGGGAGAAGGACGAGGCGGGGGAGGAGGGAGAGAAAGCGCTCCTCGTGATTTGAGTCGTTTGGGGTTTCTCGTCCTGGTGTGAGTCGTTCGGGCCCTTCTTCCTGGTGTGAGTCGTTCGGGCTCTTCGTGGTGTGAGTCGTTCGGGCTCTTCGTCCTGGTGTGAGTCGTTCGGGCTTCTCGTGGTGTGAGTTGTTCGGGCCCCTCATCCTGGTGTGAGTCGTTCGGGCCCCTCCTCCTGGTGTGACTCGTTCGGGCTCCTCGTGGTGTGAGTCGTTCGGGGCCCGCGTCGTGGTGTGAGTCGTTCGGGCTCCTCGTGGTGTGAGTCGTTCGGGCGCCTCGTCCTGGTGTGAGTCGTTCGGGCCCCTCCTTGTGGTGTGAGTCGTTCGGGCTGTTCGTGGTGTGAGTCGTTCGGGCCCCTCGTCCTGGTGTGAGTCGTTCGGGCTCCTCGTGGGGCCTCTTGGGGGCCTCTTGGAGCCACTTGGGGCCTCTTGGGGGCCTCTTGGGGGCCTCTTCTTCTCTGGGGCCTCTTGGGGGCCTCTTGGGGGCCTCTTGGGGGCCTCTTGGGGGCATCTTGGGGCCTCTTGGGGGCCTCTTGGGGGCCTCTTGGGGGCCTCTTGGGAGGCTCCTGGGGGCCTCTTGGGGCCATCTTGGGGCCTCTTGCGACCTCCTCAGAAGCGCAAATGAGCGCTGCCTCCTGAGAAGGACAAAATGAGCCCAAAACTTTCGTAAAATCAATGATTTTGCTATGGAGGAAGATGAGCGCGGCCCCCTCAGGAGGCCAAAATGGGGCCAAAACCGTAGTAAAAACAATGATTCTGGTTTCAAAGAAGAGGAAAGGGACTTATCTCCGTCCCCCCGTCGGGGCCAGAATCCTCGTGAGGGGTGTCGTTTTTTAGCCCTCCCAGGAGTCGAAATTGACCCCCTGACGACCCGCGGGGCGCCCTCTCCAGGCCCAGGGGGAGGGGGTAGGGGGAGGGGTAAACCCTTCCCCGAAGGGGAAGAAGAGGGGTTGAGAACAGAGCGGGCTCTCTAAACCACTCACGCCCAGAGGGCTGGTGGGATTAATCTGAAATTGGATCTGGCATTCGGCCCCTCTCCTCCCGACTTTGAACGAGGTTTAAGTGGAAGCTGCGCGGCGAGCGCTATATCCAACGCTGTTTTAGCTCAAGACTGCGGAATCCTGGGTGCTAGGTGCACTGCCTTGTGTATTTCTGTTTGCGTTTCATAGCAACGGCCAAAGGCCACGTCCTCCTACAATCCATCTCCCGATCCCATGGATTCTCTCTTGCCTGTCGACCTGCTTGCCATCGAGGAACAAGTTGTGGGGCACCTCGATACGTCGCCGACGTTATCCTTGGAGTCGTGTTCTCAGCTCATCACCTCAGGGCCAAGCCCTGCACCCTGACTACTCACTTCGGAATGGGGGTGGGTCGCTGGGACACGCCCAAGAGGGGGCTATTCTGACGCGCTCCCATCGAGGACGGGCGCCCCCACATCGCGCATTTCAGGGCTGGGCCCAAAATTCCGGGTCCATTCGGAAAGCGCCCCACGAAGCGTGGGACAGGGGTCTAGGGGTCGACACATCCACTGGTAAGGGGGAAGGGGGGGGTGTAAATCACGGTGATGATGGTGAGCGGTGGTGCCCTTCGCGGCACTTCGTTGCTTCCGCACCCCCCCGTGGCCAGATTGCGAGAGCACCCTTCTGCCTTTTGGCCTTCGGGAGGCCCGCGCGGCCGCCTGGGCTCTGCTCGGGGTCGGCGATGGCCCCCGCGCAGACGTGGTTTCTCTCTGGGCCCCCCTGATGGGGTCAGAGCGCAGTCGACATTGACAGTAAGGATGAGTAGGGGAAACGAAAGACTCGAAGGGGGGGTGGGCAGCTCACGGTGATGATGGTGACCGTGGTGCCCTCCGCTGTACGGCGTTGCCTCCGCCACCCCCCGCGGCCGCCAGACCGGTGTCTCGAGAAAACGTCCACCGCTCCAGACCTCCGGGCCCCTCTCCAAAGGCCGCCCCTGGGCTCGGCTCGGGGTTGGGTCGGCGAGGGGGCGCCCGCGCAGCGCGCTTGATCTCTCAGGCACCCCAGATGGGGTCAGAGGGCAGCTGATGCCGATAGTAATCGGCCACGCGCACAAGGGGGGCAGGAGGGGGAATTTTTTTGAGGAGCACCCCTGTGTCTCGGGAGGCGCGGGCCTTCCCCACAGATGTAGGGCGGGCGTCTTCTAAGAAACAGCCTCCTTGTAATAAGGGTTCTCCCCTCCCCCTCCCCTCCTGTGCGCGCCGCCACCAATAGTAAGGATGAGGCGGGAAATCGGAAGACTCGGATCGAGTACGCCAGAATCCGGGGTCGCCGACGCTTGTTGAGCGCGTAAGGGGTTTGACGTTGGAGTTTTCGTGGGATGTCTGCAGCGGGAGCCCGCGTCAAATTTCAGACGTGTCTCATCATTTTTATGATTGCCCCGTCAGGCCAACCCGAGACCCCCGATCCCGAGTCTTACGTCTCCCCGAATGAACGGCTTTCCAAGGTTACCCTTGCATGCTTTCCCTTCGGCCCATCCCTGGCCAATCGCTGGCCGCGCCCCGCTCGAAGAGCCTCGGCATGGGCGTCCAATGGGCTTGCATCCTTATCGGGCATCCTTGCTATCATTCTTGTTTGTACATGGGGGAGTCGGAGGAGCGCGCCGCATCGCCGATGCATCGGTGTTGCAGCTCGATGTGGAGCCCGACTTTCTCCACGGCGACGTCGCCGATGCATCGGTGACGTCGCCAGTGCATCGTTGATGCATCGTCGATGCATCGGCGATGCATTGGCCATACGGCGCGATCCTCCAACCCCAGTTGCTCGGACCCCATTCGGGAGGCTTCTGTTCTTGCAACTCTAAGAGCGAAGTCAGATGGCAAAGCTGGTTTTGCTCGGGAGGGGTGGCGACCCTCCTCCTTCAGTGAGTGAGGCAGCGCCGAGCATCGGAACGCCACCCGCCCAGCAGCCGACGACCTCTCCAGAAGTCTGTTTGTTCTCCCAGCCTTCATTATGGTTACGTCGTTTTTCCAAAATCGAGCACTTGTTGCCCCTTCCCACCTCACCCCTCCATTATATTTTCCTTTGATCATCCAGCAGTGATTCGGTTGTTGTTTTGAATGGGCACCTGCTTCCTCATCTTATTTTCTTGTTTCTCTTCCTCCTCTTTTCTCCACTTTTTTTTGTACATGTCCTCTTCGTTTCCTCACTCTTCTCGTTTCTTACCTTCTCTTGCGCTTGCTTGCTCCTGCTAGTATCTCTAGGTGATGTATCCTTTCCTGAGGCTTCCGATCGAATAAGTGTGCCCGCTTTCTTGAGCTCCTGGTTAGTATCGTGAGACCTCGGCCTGCCTGGGTGCTGCTGTCAAACGCACAGCCGGCTCCGGGTCGAGGGTATCCCCGTTTTACTCCTTCTCCTCCGATTTCCCTCCCCTCCTCTTCTGATAATGTGTCGATGTACCCGGCTTGCCCGAGCCCATGAGTAGTCATACCCATGTTCTGTATAGGTTGCCAGGGCGTTTTGTTCTCCCTCGCCCGATCTGGGGCTCCTTCTTCCCGACCAGATTGGTGAAGGCGCTGGGCGCAGGTGGACTAGGGACTAGGGTGGACGAGGAGGAGGAGGAGGAGGAGGTGGAAGGCATGGAGGAGGAGGATGAGGAGGAGGGGGAGGAGGAGGTACTTTGCGCTGCTGTAAGGTCGCCGCCTCCTCCCTAGTGGAAGCCCGCACCAGCGTCGCCATCCCAATGGTCGGCGGCTGTTGATTGGATAGTTCGTTTGCATGGCTAGTATGACTTTTGTCTCTGAGCGTGGCGTACGTCTGAAAGTGAGACCGGCAGCTTGGTAGCTCCATCTAATGGGGCCAGCGATATTGTTTCTGCACCTCCGTTTTCCCGTCTCCCGTCTCTGCTCTCATGTACCCAACAATTATACAATATTAATCATATTATCCTCTCTCCCCGAAGATCCCGAGGTCGTAGCCTGTCCCCCTCCGCGTATTGGTCCCAACCATCCTGTCCTCCCTCCTCTCTCTTCCAATCATCATCACAATCATCACCATCATCACCATGATGATGATCATCATAAAGCTGTTCTCGGAACCCCTTGCCTGACCCGTCCGTTTGTGGCCCTTTTGGGCTCCGTCCAAAATCCGCTTAAGCTAATTTGCTAACATACCGCGACCGATGCCAGTCTTCGTTCAGAGCGGGATTGGCCTTGCAGCGTGGGCGGCGGATCGCTTCCTGAACAGCGAGGTGGTCGGCGAGGCGAGCAATTGTGCCTTTGCCATCCAGGTGTTCGGTGGTGCGCGCATTGCTGCGAGTGTCATCTTCATCGCGGGTATCGTGCTGGGCTATTTCATCGGCACGAGCGATGGCTGCTGCTGCTGCCGCCGCGAGGTGGGGCATCGGAGATCGCGTGGAGATCCAGTTTCGGCAGGGAGGCGTGTGGCAGGCACGCGTCGTCGTGGGGATCGCGGTCTAGCAGAACTACAAGGACGTGATTGGGGAAGCTCCTCCGGCAGAAGCAGAAGCGAGGGGAGAGATTTTGTTCATGCTCACCCCCGACGGCGACATGCACCCGCACGTGATCCACACCGACGTGATCAGAGGCGCCGTGAAGATCCACCGCGGGCGGAGGGACCGCGCGTAACTGGTTGGCACGGGCCCAGCCGCCAACGCGCGGACGTACGGCGAGGATTGGATATCCGAGCCGTCGGAGCTCCTGGAGGCGATCGGGTTCGCGTCGGGGGCATCCTCCGACGAGGTGATCGCGAGGCTCCGAGGGACGACTTCGGTGGCGGCGGCGGGCTCGGGCTCGAGTTCAGTTCAGATACCGCCTGAGTGGGAGAACGTCACGACGTTACCAGATCCAGACGGGAAAGGATGGTATATCATTTCGGCCAACGACCATTCCAGCGCGGCCAAATTGCCGAGCCTCACCGTGGACGCGGGCATCATCAGGGAGGGCCTCGGCTTCGTGCGCGTCGGCACCGTTTCGTACATCGTGCAGTACGGCAGCTCCGACACGGCGCTCGACGTCCGCGTGCTGGCCTTGACAGGGACCAGCGGCGATGGGCGTCACTTTGGGTTCCGCGAGGGAGTGAAGCAGCTGACGGAGACGACCTGGCCATCATGGCTTTTGCTCGGTCCTCGGGCCGCTGGCTGGGTGTGCAGGTTCATCAGGGACCAGGACGTGGCGCCTCGGTCGAGGCACGCGCGCTTCAAAGCGGAGGTGGGCCTGACAGCCACAGATCTTGGAGTCGACGTTCACGAGTTCTGTTTGCGTTTGTTACAGATCGGAATCCAGTTTAACCAGTTAATCGTATCGGAGTTAGACATATTCGAACTGATATTCAGAACAGCACATATGATTGAGTATACGCATCGGGACAGGTATCTCAACCGCATGGGCTCGGCGGCGGACGACTTGGCAGAAGACGAGCACCTCTACCTGGGCACGTCTGAGACTCGAGGGTTGATGATGATAAGCCCAGCGCTCTCCACTTACGTCGCCGACGAGTTGCGCAAGGAAGCCAGCGTCTTGAAAGAGAGGCGCAAGTCTCGAGAGGAAAGGCATACAGCTCGTCGCGGCGGTGGTGGAGGCGGCGGCGGCGGCGGTGGCGACAACCCTCAGTTGCAGAGTCGTGCCGACAAGCTGGCGGCAGAGAACAGGTCCTTGAAGGAGAGGTTTGCGACGGTCGATCCGGAGGGGAAGGGAAAAAGGTGGAGATGCAGCCAACTCAGCGGCCCAAGCGGCCGCCGGTGGCAAGTAGCCCTCGGAGCATGGCTGCGCCGCGGGAGCTGTTTCCAGTACCCGCGGCTTTGTGGGTGGACGAGGATTTCGGCGGCTTTCGCTCGCCCACCCGCCGTCGTCGCAGCAAAGCTCGCCAACGTTTCCAGACTTCACGCTGGACGGCAGAGGCTACTCACAGCTTGAATTGGTCGTTTGGCCGCGACGTCTCCGGCGAGTTCAGCGCTCTTTCTCTCTCTTGGGCAGAGCTCGGGCATCCGTCAGATGAGCGAGCGAATTCAGGCCCTCGGCGGGCCTCCTTGCACCGCGGTGGCGGCCCTATCGGAGCTGCGCCGCAGTGCCCCATGGCTACGATTGCAGTCCAGCGAAGTCCGTCGCGCGCGCCGAAGGTCTTGTGAGCTTGCCCAGCGACGCTTTGAAGTGTGACGCCTCAGAGTCGCTGACTGGGCATGCACGGGGGTTGCGGCACGAGCGGCGTCAGCGCTAGCTACGAGGTCCCGAGCAGGATCGCGAGATTGTCGTTCCCTACTTTGACGAGAAGCTGCGGCGGCCCCCTCGCCACTTCGCCCGCTCCTTGAGCGAAATGTAGTCTGCAGGTGTGGTTCGATTTGCGGCGCCTCAACCGGCGACCGTGGGTTTGTTCTTCGTCGAGAAGTCAGGCAACTTGTTGCGCTTGATCCTCGACGCGCGCGCAGTCAACCGGGAGTTCTTGGACCCAGACACCGCGGCCAGACCTTCTGCTGGAGTCTGGCGCGGGCTGAAGACACCCGCGACAGAGAGCCTTTCGCTGAGCCCGGTGGACATCGAGGCGGATCTGCCGATGTGCTGGCGCAGTTCTGCCCGGAGAATAGTTTGCGCGATGTTACGACAAGCAAAGCATCGCCATTGCGAACGGCATTGCCGATGGGCTGGAGCTGGAGTCTGCACTTCTGCCGGGCTCTCGCGGTTTCTCAGGTCCTTGCCGCGGGTTTGCTTGAGGAGAGGGCCACCCAGGACAAGCGCGTGGTGCCCGACGTGACGTCTCAGGCGGGAGTGGCGGCGCATGTCGGCGGCGTGGCTGCGGTGGGCTTCGACGAGTCCGCCGTGAAGGGCGCCGTCGATCGCGCGCGCAAGCAACTGGAGAGCTGCCAGCTGAAGCGCAAGGGCGCGGTCGCAGATCGGGTGGCTCAGAAGTTCACGGGCCCGGTCCTACGACACGGGGCGCATTCCGGTCAGCAGCGGGCGGATTTGGCGGCTGAGGCTGGCGCTCCTGGAGGTCGCCGAGCGTGGTGTCTGCAGCGGCGACGACGTGCTCTCGCTGCTG